GGGGGGGGGGGGGGGGGGCAAGGGTGGTATAGGAACTTCGGCTGTTGGGGTTGATGGACCGGACGGGTGTTTCCTAACTGCGAGCTTTGATATAGGGCACTCCAGGTAAGCCGGTTTCAACCTGTCGATGCTAACGGCAACCTTGGTACCATTACGGTCGAGGACGAAGTATTTTGGTACGCGTCGGAGGACCTTGTATGGTGCGTCGTAAGGTGGTTGGAGCGACTTCTGTACTGCGTCTACGCGGACGAATACGAAAGGAGACGCATTCAGATCTTTGGGAATATGCTTGGGTCTATCGTTAGTACGGGGGGGGGGTGTCGGAAGGACGGATCGGAAATGCTCCTTGAGTTGGAAGGCGTACGACGAAGGAACCACCATCGGTATATTCGGGGAGCGTGAAATCATTTCTTCCGGGAGCCGGAGCGTGGTACCCAAGATAAGTTCCGCTGGAGAGCATCCGAAATCATCTTTCACCGTGTTCCGTATGAAAAGAAGAATGATGGGAAGACGCTCTGCCCAATTAACACCGACCGAAGTAGCGATGATAGCAGACTTAAGCTGTCGATGAAAACGCTCGACTAGGCCGTTACTCTCCTTGTGATAGACAGTGGTGCGTATGTTATTATTATTTCAAATGGCAGGCTTTATGATATTTATCATTAGCCCTTAAACTTTGACCTCAGCTTCCCCCATGGGTGGGGGGGGGGAGTTCATATAAAGCAGTTAATTAATAGCAGTTCATTAGCTGTCTTCTGGCTTCACAGTATCTCTGGGTCTTCTCCATTTCCTCCTGTAGGTTACATAGGGGGCATGTGGGTTGAGTGTATACTCCTAATCTGTGAAGGTGTTTTGCCAGGCACCCGTGTTCGGTACGTAGTCTAAACACAGCAACGGATTCGATTCTTGGCCAGTCGGCTGTGTCGGGGAGTGCCACTGTCCATTGTTTCTTCTTTGTTTGAGCTTTAAGTTCGTTGCACCTTGAGGTCTTGTTCGAGCTTTAATTTCGTTGCACCATTGTGTGGGAAGACCCCGGTCCATAAATGTAATTCTCTCCTGATTAAGGTCTTCATTATGTGGAAAGACATTGGCCGGCCCATGAATTGCAAAATTGTTGTCCCCTTCTTAGTAAGTGTGTCAGCAAGCACATTGCCTTTAATGCCACAGTGACCAGGAATCCATTGTAGGTCCACTGTTTTGTTTTCTCTCTCAGCAGCTGATAGAGTTTCCTACATTCCTTTATCTCAACTGTTTTGGGTGGCTTTCTGTTTCCAGTTGAGTTTATTGCTGACTGTGAGTCCGAAAGTATCACCGCTTTGGTGAATTTTGTATCCAGGCAACATAATTGGCATAGTGCTATCCTAATGGAATTTATTTCTCCTTCGAAAGCGTAGAAAGAGAAGAGTTCAGAATAGACACCTGAACCAACGTTTGCTTGGTTTTCTATGTATGACCCATCAGTGAAGACTTGGAGCCATTGATCTGCTCTTCAGTGAAGACTTGGAGCCATTGATCTACAGGATAGTTGTCATTGAAGCAACGTTGCTCGGCTGATCTGCAGGATAGTTGTCATTGATTATCTCAAGGGCCCGTGAGCGCATTTGTACTGGAGGGGTGTTTGATTTCCTGAAGTAGTCAAGGAGTTAGGTGCAACACACTACATCAGTGTCTGCTAATGGTTTCATGGGTAGAGGAAAGCTCTTTGGTTTGTCATCGATTTGTGATGCTTTCTTCAGCTCTATAGCTTTCTGTATTAGACCAGATTTGCGTTTTCAGATATCTTGGTCTATTCTCATAGGTGCTGAAGAATTTATCCATGGGAATGCGCAGTGGCTTCTCATACTTTATCCATGATGCACAGTGGCTTCTCATACAGGATCAAGACCTTTTCTTTGATAAGGGAATATTGTCGTGCTTCCTGTAACTAGGAGCATTGCATCAATGTCGAAGCGTAACGAATGGTTGGATGTGATTTCGATGAAATCTGGATCCGACTTTTGTTCGGTGACCAGGACTTGCAAAATCGAGAGAGGGCACTCCTATTTGGTTCAACTCTATGCGAGACGTCGCGTCGACAACCACATTGCTCGCGCCGTCAATATGACGAATATCATTTGTGAATTGCAAGACGAAATCCAAATGACGAGCTTCTCTTGGGAAGTGGTGCTCTGAGTTGGCTTGAAAAGCAGAAATTAGAGCCTTGTGGTCGGTAAATAGCGTAAACTGACGGCCTTCCCGTATATGGCGGAAGTGTTTGACTGCTAGGCAGATGGTGAGTGATTCCCTACCGAACGTGCTATAAGTTTTTTTGCCAGAAATGCTTAAAGAAATATCAGGCAAATAAAAAATCACTGAACTGAAAAGCTCTGTTAATGTCATTGATTTTTGTCATTTGTCCAAATCCCAAAATCTTACTTGAGAGCAATGAGAAAATCTCTCGATAATCCGAATTCAGAAAAAAAGTACGATTACCACGAGGGATGTGCATTTTAGAGTGCTGCCAATGTGCGGCATGAAGCGATCACTGAAAAGCTAACTCCAACCTACTTTCAGCGCTTGGCAACACTACCTAACACTTTTCCATTCATTTTTCTCCTGTGTCTACAGTTAGGACTAGAACTTCTCTCCTTATCCAAGGTTTCATTATCTTTGCCATTGAATTTTCGGTTTTATTTATATTCTTCAAGATATCCTATTAACCCCTTTACCTAAATAATTCAATTTGTTCTCTTACCATTTTTGCGGTAAATACAAAAGTTTATTCACATAGTATGTGCGTGGGGGTAAGTGCGGTCGAGGAAGAAGTGACCGGATTACAAGTGGTAAATAGTCTTATAAATCAAGCAATAAAAAAAGACAATAAGATTAGTTAAGCAAAGATAGACGTGAAAAATGTTTTAGCCAAAAGGGTTAACTAAAAAACTTTCCCTTAGATGCAGTAACCATTTAATAATGTATTTTAACTAAAGGCACTTATTTTGTTTGTTTGTATCAAGGTCTTTGTACAGGTATGGGTTTTTTGAACAATGTTTAAAAAGCAGTATTTTTGCCCAATTTAGCCTTCAACTAGATATTATGCAAAATTGAGTGTTCAGGTTTGTTGCGCTTGTAGTGTGCCTTTATCAAATTTTAAATGGAGCCTTATTTTATTTTCAATAGCATGCATTTTTTACAACAGCTTGTTCAATAAATTATGCTCGCTGCTTCTTAGAAAATGAATTTGCTCTCATTTAACGTTTAGCTAGCTTTTATTTTGTATATTTAGGTCTTGCCATGGAAAACAAGCCTCATCCATCTTACCGGGCTGCGAAGTTATTGAGGGATCCTCTCTTGGATCCATCTTGCAAAACTCCTCTCTATAGAATAGATGGTGTAGTGCAGGGGGTAATATACCTCACTTATCTTTACATTATTAGGCCTCTCATCCAAGTCACATAGATGTTGTTGATCCTCGATTGGCTCCTCAACTACGTGCATTTTGTAAAATTCCTGGGTTGGACTTTGAGGTTCCAAACTTTAAGGTAGTTTAAAGCGTATCCACTATACATTCTACCTGTTTAGTATGATATTTATTATATCGGGAAATATCCAGATAAAGAAGTCACATTTTCCAACCTTAATGATAATATAACGACGAAAAATTTGAATCAAATGTGTCAACAATTCGGTGCTATCGAGGAGGTCAAAGTTTATTTTCATCCTCAGACCCAAAAGCACATGGGGATAGGCAAGGTCGTTTTTCGTCTCGCTAAAAGTGCCCAACTCTGCGTGGAGAAGTTGAACAAAACCTCCAAAATGGGCAACATAATGACAGTCGAATTGGATAAATTTGGTGAAAAAAGACATTCACTTTTATTCAATCTTTTTAATCAGTTATCTCAAACCGCTCAAATAAAGCCGCATAGAAATGACGTAGTAACTTCTTCCAGTAGACCCGAGGATCCTCCCAAACATTCCATTCCTCCACAACTGTTGCCTAATCCCTTGGAGATTAAATCTTCGTCATATCGCGGTGATTCTCCAAAAGATCGCTCCTATCGTTCTACTCTCCCTTCTTTGAATCACCTTCCACCACTATCATCTTCACTCAATGGGATCGCACTATCAAATGAAGACCCACTTGATGTCCGAATACGAAAATTGCTTCTCTCATCCTCTACCTCCTCGGAGTCTCCTAGTCAGTTTAAAAAATCACCACTTCTTCCCATAATTAAACCGAATCCCACACCCCTTCTTCGGAGCCCTTCTCTGCTTCCAGTACCAACACCCACACATTCGTCCAACAGAGTGATCTCAATTCAAGATTCCCAGTCCCCAAATGTCAGCGCCTCCTCTTCAACGCGTAGAACTCTTCTTCCTCTGCCACCAGTTGAAGAGGAGGCTAAATCAGAAAAGAAGACGCTATCTCCTCTTCCGTCTGTGAAACTCCCTCTCCTTTCACAAGTTCTCCCTGCTGTGAATTACTCCCACGTTACCCAGTTAGCGGTGGAGACCTCTTTTCAGTTTGTAACGGAGCTGCGGAATATCATTAGGATGGATCTAGAGCGCAGACTCATTGAGGGCTGCGCTTTTCGTGTCTTTGATGATTGGTGGGAAGCTCAAAAGAGAGTAGGTGCCATCTCTTTTTATCTCTTAGTAACCGCTGTGAGATGAACATGAGATTAGCATATGATGCATTATTTCTCATTATTTTTCGCTCATTTAAAGCGTGTGTAAATGCATTATTGTTGTGCCCTCGTGTCAGTGAGTGAGCAACACTGATGGTGAATTCATTTGCTTTACCCATGTGAGGCGGCACGTGTCTTGAATGCCATCTGTACTCAGCCGGTAATTTAATATATTCCCTGATGCTTGACTAGATTCTACCTTTTGTGCAACTTTCAGACATTCGACAGCTGTAATTTGAAGTTCATTCAGTTTATTAGCCTACTAAACAGTGTTTATTTCTGTCTAGTCAAGCGCATGATTGATTGTAAACGATTCCAGAATTAACTTGCGTTTCCAGTTTACAAGTCTGTGAAGCCATAGGTTACGAGTCCAATGATCATCGTAGCACCATCAATTGTGTTGTGAATGACTACTCTATTTAATTCTGATAAGAGATGCTGAAATATGTCGTGTTTCTCTTCAACACCTCACCTCAGTCACTTGCCATAAACACTGTTGAGTGTATTTGAAAAGTGATTTCTAATGCGAGTCGGTTATCTACACTGTCCTTTACCAGATTAAGGTAAGCGTAGAGTGTTTCTTTACCTGCTTTGAAGAGCATTGTTAGTCCAACTTATGATAGTAACTCAATCTCATTGGGACATAGTTATTCCATACGAATGTGCTTGTAGTTTGTTGGTTCTCTGCTTTTTAAATGAGCATTGAAAACGCTTTTCATGAGTTTTGTAATTTATTCTAATTTCAGATCAGAAAAAGGCCTAAAATAGGGTTTAAGCAAATATATAGTGATTGGATTTTAATTAATAAAAATTAAAGGAACGTTATTATTATCAGTATTCACTTTGCATTACAGTTGGAACACAGAAGGAATATTTTATCGAGGGGCAATCTAACTAGGCCTCTTGGAGACTTCAACGCTCAATCTTCGTCACCCTCTTCAAATGCTCAAATTATTAATCGGTCAACCAAAATCGACCCAAGCGGTGATATCTCTTTCCTTTTTCAAGGTCTTCGATCCACCTTGCCAAAAATAAAACGAAAGCCTAAACCACCTCCATCACCTCAGCAGCGAGAGGGAGTACAAGGAAAAAGGGCAGTTTTCTCTTCGGCTTCTACGCCATCTTCTCTTTCGCGATCTACATCTAGGTCTCTGTCTCCCCATTCCAAAAGACGTCATTCCAAAAATAGAAAGTCCAGAGGTGATATTAATAGGAGAGAAGGCAAGAGTAGGCGGGACCACCGAATTCATCACAGAAGACTATCTTCCACATCATCTTCACTTTCTCTTAGACGTGCTCGTTCTCCTCACTCAGATTCCACTGAACCCACTACTTTCGCATCTCTATCTTCACCGAGGAAGCAGACCAAGCCTTATCGGAAAGGTTTGCAGCAAGTTTTATCCCTTCCTTTCTGTCGTTCTATCCCCACTATCTTATAATCATATTTTCCCCCTATAGTTTCAACGAAACAACGCGCGAGTTCTCTTAGTAATTCAGACATTGAACCTCCTCGCAGTCGCAGAGTGGTAAAAAGGGGATTAAGCACTTCCAGTTCCACCAGCAGTCAGTCAAAGTCTTCTGCAATGTGTATTAGTCCCTTACCTTTGGTAAATCAGAAATCGGTTTCTGCAAAACTTACACTGCAGAAAAAAACCGTTTTCTCTGATAGGTATTTTGATTTTCTTATTTATTGCTGATCTATTATTTCTCGTAACTTAAAGTCCGGGTTTTTTATTCTTTTCTCTGCTTCATTTCTTTACTTTTCTTATGCGTTATAGTTCCTTTGCGAATTGAATCCCATCTGGCTAGGAAATTTTTATTTATCTCGAATGGCGGATTAGTAGAATTGCTTGTCTTTGAACTGGCTTTCCACTTGTTATTTTTTAACGTAATTCTTTTTCTAATCATTTAGCATTACTTTCTGTCTTCATTGTAACTGCATTTTAGCTTCTCGTAGAATTGCCTCAGTAGCTTTTCAACTCTTACACAGTTTAAATTAAAGTTCCTGTGACCTTTCAGATGTCACTATTTTGATGTGCACATTTATGATTAGTTTATTGAGCGCTATGGAATGTGAGTGGCTCCATCCGAATACCATCTTTATAATATACTTTGTTGCTAAGCGATGTGCAGAGAACATGTTCAGGACATTGTTATTAATAATTTTTTGTATTTACTGCTTTTAAATTATATATATATATATATATATATATATATATTAGGTGGGCAACTAAGTCATTGCCGATTTCATTTTTAAATTGGGATAAAAACAAAACTAAAGAACTAAACAAAAAAAATTTTTTTACTAATTAACCTGGAAGCCCATACAGTAAGAAAAAATATATGTTAGATGCTCTGGCCACGTTAACAAAACAAAAGAAAGTATAGAGTGAATCCGTCAACAAAAACGGCAATGACTTAGTTGCCCACCCAATATATATATAGAAATAGAGAGTTAACTTTTCTGTGTTTGCACTGGATTTTCACTTTAATACCTTTTTGTGTCCATGAGCTTTTAATCTAATTTAATCTTCATTTTCTATTTTTTTCAAAAATCTATATCATAGTACGTAAAAATAATGGGTTTAAATACTGGACCGCTAAGCAGCAAACCATACATGCTTTTTCTTCACCTTAGTTCGTCGGATTCGGAAAATTCCCAAAAAGATGGGGATGAAAGGTGCTTGAATGCATTCCCTACGTTGGTGCAGTCCGCTGTCAAGGAACGTCATTCAAATAAGTCGCCTTCCTCCTCACCGCTTGAATCCAACCCCAGTGAGCTTTCGCACTCGCCACCTGTTAGAAGGCCTGAACCTATAATTAAGCCCTCCATTGCCGAGTCCTCTGATCTTAATTCTGATGAGTCCGATGTAAGTAGCAGTGTCTTCTGTTTGTCCATAGTGCCAAAGGGTTTCTTAAATATTATGCTTAGATCTTCCTTTCTTAATCATTTCAATACTATTAATTGTTATTTCCACATAGTATTTGATGGTTGACAAGCTGATTGGTGTCTTTGCGTTATTTATAATCCTTAGCTCGTAATTGAATGTTTGTCCAATATAAACTCGCTTGTTTCGCATTCTAAATGGCGTTTGTATTTTCGCTTCTAACAGGAAGAAAACATCGCATTAGCAATTCGACTTAAGAGACGGGAGGAGGAGCTTCACAGAAAAGGAATGGCTACTGCTAAAGGTAGTAGGCGTAGGACTACCACTGTAAACGAGCTTATCAATGGAACTCCCCAACCCTCCAGCTTGCCAAATGGATTACTGGTGGGTAAACTGCCTATACTTGTATTTCATTGCCATTATTTTCCTTCGTTTTTTGTAGGCATGTTTTTTGACAACTATGTTTTATTGTATTTTATCGTTTATTTAATGGAGAATTTTCTCGTCAAATGTATAAAATATTAGAATGGAAGCTTAAATAATCTAATAAATTGCTACATTTAATAGATTCGTTCTGAATTTCAAAATAATATTTGATTTTCTCGCGTTTCTCGTTCGTCTGATAGAGCTCCAAAACTTTTAAATAAATTAAAATAGCTATGGACTTTAAACTTTTTTAATCAGTCGCAGTACTGCATCATACTGTGATTTCTTGTGTCTGTGAATCCAATAAAAAATTTAAAACTCCTTGTAAAGCGTGTTTGCCTCACTGTATTTGTTCTATTAGGTTGGCAACTAAGTCATTGCCGATTTCAAATAAGAAGGCAAATTCTTAATTTTTGTTTAAAAATATAACTTTATTCAATTAGATATCGGCCGTTCTTGTCGATGACCTTTTTCCATCGCTCTGGCAGAGTAAAAATTCCCCGTTCGTAAAATGTCTGGTCTTTGCTATTAAAAAACTGAATTAGGTGTGATCCGACATCATCCGCGTTGTTAACAATTTTACCATTTAAAGAGTTTTGCATGGAACGAAACAAATGGTAATCGGAAGGCGCAAGGTCAGGGCTATATGGTGGGTGTGACAAAACATCCCAACCCAGTTCCAATCATTTTTGCCGAGTAACCAAAGATGTGTGGGGCCTTGCGTTATCATGATGGAAAACAACACCCTTCCGCCGATTTGATAATGCCGGCCGCTTATCTTCAATTGCATCCTTCAGTTTTTCGAGTTCTTCAACATACACATTTGAATTTATCGTTTGGTTCTGCGGCATGAGTTCAAAATACAAAATTCCTTTGTGATCCCACCACACTGACAGCATAATCTTTTTTTGGTGAATCACTGCTTTTGATACTGTTTGGGCTGGTTGATCTTGCTTCACCCATGATCTCTTGCGAGTAACATTGTTATAAACTATCCACTTTTCGTCGCCAGTAACTAGGTTCTTCAGAAATGGATCATTCTCATTGCGTTTCAGTAGCGGCGAATCACAGATGCTAATCCGTTGCGTCAAATGAATTTCCTTTAACTGGTGAGGCATCCATAAATCAAGTTTCTTGACATAACCAAGGGTTTTTCATTTTTTTCAATGCATGTATGCGACACATTGAGCTTCTCTGCAATATCTCGTGTTGTGCTGTGACGATTTGAATCGATAATGGCCTTGATATGGGTTTCATCCACTTCGACTGGGCGGCCAGATCGTTGTGAATTTTTCAGTGAAAAATCACCGCAACGAAATCTTTCAAACCACTTTCGACACTACCTTTCTTTTAAGGCTTCATCTCCATATACGGCACATAACTTCTTCTGTGCTTGCGATGCGTTCTTGCCTTTTCGGAAGTAATACAATAAAATGTCGGAAGTGCACGTCCTGTTCTTTCATTTTTAAATTGGGATAAAAACAAAACTAAAGAACTAAACAAAAAAATTTTTTACTAATTAACCTAGAAGCCCATACAGGAAGAAAAAAATATAGGTTAGATGCTCTGGCCACGTTAACAAAACAAACGAAAGTATAGAGTGAATCTGTCAACAAAAACGGCAATGACTTAGTGGCCAACCCAATAGTATAGTTTTAAATGAGTTAAAGGAATGGCAAACAATTAGGCCACTTTTGCATTTATTTGTCTTTGATTTTGTGGTCTAGGATCCATGTAATTGCCAAAATTACAGAAGCCCTTGTGCAGTCATTTTAATTAATTTAATTATTCTTGTATCACTTTATTTTATGAAATTAAAAAGTAATTCGTGCATTTGGCCGAACTCTGATCCTCTCCACTAATATTTCTAGAAGATGTAGTTGAAACTTTCCATTAGTTTTACTGGATTGCGCAAAGTATAATTCCTCCTCTATGAAAAAGCTTCTTTTGGTTTATTGCCTTTTTGCGTGGTCCCTATTTAGAATTCGAAGGTTTTTTTCGGAGCTTCGTTTGTATTTTGAGAAAACGGTTGAGCCGGGGTTTTCCAACCACCAGACCAATAGTCGGGCTAGTTTCTCGGTTTAATTGTGCTCTTGATTTCATGTGCGAGAAATGCGTAGGCTACGATTCCAGTGCTTAGCGTCGTATACATGTGCAAGGTTATTAACCTGCCAAACGAAAATTGCATGCCGATTTCAAATATTTTTTTATTCATCTGCTATTTGACCTTAACGTTATCCAGCTTCCAATTCAGAGTCAATTTCTAAAAAGCATTAATTTCTCTAGAAGATCCAATTTAATAGGTTGATGGTTTAATATATTATCTCTTTTTTTCAGTATAAACTTAAGTTATACAGTTAAAAGTGCATTGTCGTGAATGGAGTTAAATTAAGAAAGTTTGATCTGCCAGTTTAGCTTTTGAGGTGCCTTTATTTATTGGTTACTTGATGGCGAAACAAATTTAATTTCAATTTATGTCTTAACGTTTGTTGACAACACAGCTCATTTGAGGTAAAACTAGCTGTGCTGTCCTGTATTCAGAAGGTGAAATTATTGTACACAGTAAAGAATCGTATCAGGTTTCAATTCGTTGAATATTATGATTTGCATGATATGCAATTGCTCTCATCTTTTATAAAATCTTGAGATAATGCATTGATCTGATTTGTAATTCAAGGTATTTTGACCTCTAAACAATAAAAATATGAGAACGACTTGTAATCGTTTTCATGTAGCTGAATTTAGTTGCTAAAATGTCCCGTTGAAGAAAAGGTACACGTTGTCATGGATAAGAACGTTTGAGTGTAAATGGCCGCAGAGGGCATAGATCAGGTCTACACCAGTAGTCCCACGCAGCTCATTTAACTCATTTGTGCTCATTAATAGTATCTGCAGATTCTCAGGCGTTGATTGGTTCCTCTAAGCGGAAAGAAGGAACACATAAAAGGTCCGATGATTAATTGGTTAAATAATGTTAGCAGTCTAAATGGGCTACCGAGAATATACATATTGGTTATCCTGGTTCAGCATGACGAAATGCCATTTTCCGGGCCTGAGTTAACTTCGGGATAACGATTTCTAGTGGTCAGATATGTATTGGCGGTATAAACTATACTTCTTAGCCTTACCTTACACAACTCATTTATATATGCAGGCACGATCGCGTCAGAATCAGAAATTACGGCTTCGTGAAAGTGAGATTGATGCTCTGTCGGATATCAGCAACGGGGAGAGTGATTCTCGTCAATCCTCCTTTGTAGCATCCAAGACATCGTCGAGACATCGCATCCAGTCTCTCTTTCCGGACGATGACTACGAATCTCAACAGTCAAGTCAGCGACTCGAATCCCGCTTTTCTTATCAGGAGGAATCTGCTTCCTCGAGAGGCGCTTCAGATGTTGAGGAGTCTTTGGATGAGGAATGTTCACTTGAAGGGTTGCCTCGGTCATCACATCAGGTATGCTTCGAGATCACTTAGCCCGACTTTCCTTACTGCTTTATATACGAGCGTTATTTCTAACTCGGCTTTATTTGCCCACTCATCCAACCACATATGCGCACCCAAAGAAACCCACTGAGATTGATGTGGAGTGTAAACGACGGCAACGAGAAGCACTTAGCCACCCGGATTTGGAAGGCGACTCCTGTGACTCCATTGATGTCGTTGAGGTACGTTGCGCCTCTAATATTGCTGGTTTTTGTTTATCCTAACACTTCTTGAAAACCGTATTATGATCCGAAATGGCCAAGGTCATTGAAAAATCTATAGTTAAGTACAGCGTTCATTTTATTTAGGTATGGAAATATACTGAAATGAGATTGGAAAGTATAAACTACTGAGCAGTACACGCAGACCCGAAAAAGAACACTCCATACCCAGATCATATAGCAATATCAACGAGAAGTTTGACGCCAGAAGTAAGCCATACTCAAGTCACGTTATCTTAAATGGTGTTTATCATGAATTCAGACGCTGGAGGCATGACATTACACTGGATACGTTTTGCAGAGTATAAGACACTACAAAATTGATTAACATCTGTAAATATTGGTTGTTACCGATGACGTGGTGATTGGGTTACAATTGATTGGAAGTGCTTGTCTAGTGGCTTGAGTTAGAATAACTATAAAATGAAATCGCCTTAGTTGATATTTGATTTTGCAGACTGTTGAGCGTACCTATCAGTGGCCTGGTGACTTGATGCAAGAACATAACTACTTCCATCTTCCAGACTGTGGATTAAGGATCCGCTATCGTGTCTCGAAACGTGAAGCCCGTAGACGTATTTCTTCAGAGACTAATTTCACCCTTGCTTCAATCGCAACTAGTGGGGAGGAAGAAAATAAAGCTACATCACATATTGCACGTAACATGTCGCCGAAACCGCTCCTCACGTGCTCTGCTTCAGTTCAGTCCATTCGACAAGAACAGGAACTCCGAACAGTGGGAAGTAGCAATAGTGTTCCCCCAACTTCTGGTGCTGTGCGTCCAAGTGGACAGGAGAATAAGAAACAGCCGCTCAAACGCTCTGGTGTGGGATCCAGAGAGTTGGCTAATCTTTTGACCCCTGTGGAAGTGTCTAAGCCTCCTCGGTCTGCTCCTTCATTCGAAGAGCGACAGTCAGATATCAAATTCGCTCCTCGTTCTAAAGAAGAGGAGGAAATGGTAAATAAGCTAATTCTTGTTAAAATTTTTCTTAAAACTAAATGAAAATACTTCCTTGTAAATTGTAGGTACTTAAAATAGGTCATATCATCGTTTCCTATAGATAGCATCATTTTGTGCCTCAAATTTAGCTTCTTGGGATTGAATGTCTTAATAAAAGTCGAGCTAGCGAACTCGTAGTTACGACATAGTGGAAAGGGAATGGTGATTAGTTTCAAGTGTTTAATTGTTTACATTCTCTTCTTAGTCCGAAGGACACATGTTGTTGCTCTTTTAAAGGATCTTAAGAGACTTCTTAACTTGGGAGGTAATGTTTGGATATTGCGTTTCCATCATTCTTGACCAAAGAACTTGATCCCCTCGACATGGTAAGTTCTTTCTTTCTGCCAACGTTTGCGTACCTTTTGCAGCGTTGCACTTCGCTCTCTTCGTACGAATTCCCTTTGAGGGTAATTTTGCGCCTTCGTCGTATTTTTTAGACTTGATAGCCTAGTCAAAATAACGGCTTTATTGAGGCATGGTATTGTTACTTTCTAATATTTACTGGGACGTCCACGGTGTAAAGTTGTTAACGGTAAAATCGATGGTTAATGAGATACCTATCAATATTATGCTTCTAACTGGCCAATTTCTATCTACCCAAAGTTAAAAGACGGTAGTTATTTAATATTTGTTATTTGTTTACTCTTCGAATGGGTTGTTTGTGGGTGGTCGATTTGTTTCCAAATTTTAAATAGTATATAAAAATCAAATCATTTCTTGATACCTCAGTAAATATAGCGTATTAGCTAATTTACCTTAGTCTTGACTTTATCTAGACCCCATTTGTGGTTCTTATTGGTATTTGATTGCTCAACTGAAGGATTAATGTAAGAGAACTGTCTTCACTAAACTGATCCCATATTAAGTAGGCAGAGTTTCTTAGTCTGAAAATCTTGGAAACTGGCTTGTTTGCGGTTCTTGAATAAAGTAACGTTCTCTTTCGCTTAGCATTTCACTGTTTTAGAATGAATTTCTCCGCAGCTACGCTCTACAACTTAAGCAAGTTGAGCCTACTTTATTTTTCTTTTTTAGATACTAAGCTCTTTTCTTGAAGTTGGCATCGATTCTGAGGATGTTGGCATGTTCCACGAGCTCTACAATCTAATACGTGATGATCGAGGCTCTAAACTTTTGGCCTCAGTGGTTGAATCATCCCACGTCTGTTATCCACATAAACTCCTCAATATGATAAGCAAAACTGCGTGGGTTGATCATCCACCCTCCTTTGTGCCGGATCCTCCTGATGTGAAAGGGTTCATTGATGCTCAGGGTCGACTCCACACTGATGCCTCTACTGCGGTGGGCAACAAGGAAAACTCACGTAAACGTCGTCGTCCAGCTCGAAATTGTCGGGCGAAGCGATCGAGACTTGATCTGCTAATTTCAGAGTCGGCGTACACTTCATCAATCTCGGAGGAGGATTCTATTCCTGAGTCGCCTAGTGTATTCGGGGATTCTGTAGAATGCTTTAGTTCGACCATGTTATTGCAACGTCGACGACTGATTGAGCAGATGGCTTCTGTGGCCCACTGTAGGGCTACTTTGGTTGGTGAGGGTCATTTTAATCAAATTCGAAGAAAACGAAGGTCGATATCTGATGATGCGACTATGCATCTTGGTCCTGCTGCTGAAAGTCCACCAGTTCATTCCACTGGCAAGTTTCTTTATTTTGTGGATTTTTTTCAAAGATGTTGACACCTTCATCTTTTAAAATGTTCTTTTCTTTCCAAATTAGGTTGTGCCAGAACTCAGGGTTACTACCGTCTGGATCAGAGCCAACGGTTTCGCCGTTCCTGGTGTGTGGGTCAGAGCAGAATGGCTGAGGATGGGAGACAACGAGTTCCTCTACCCCTCACTCCAGCTACAGTTCCTCTGAATATCATCAACGCTGCTCAAGATAGTCTTGCTGGTGAACTCACTGAACAAGGTTCTAAAGCCAAACGAAATAAGGTCACTCAAGCTCGTGAGGTTCGTTCTGTTCAACGGCGTCTCCTCGCCGAGTTCCAGGATATTGAAACTGGTGATTTGCTCAAGTTCAACCATCTTGAAGTTAGTCACATAAAAATTGCTACTTTAATATATCAGTAGCATATCTATTGACAATTTTTTCCCTTGTAGTTTCGAAGAAAGGAACTTACTTTTGCAAAGTCTCCTATTCATCAGTGGGGTTTGTTTGCTCTGGAGCCCATTTCAGCTGATGAGATGGTGATCGAGTATGTTGGGCACGTTGTTCGAAGATGCGTCTCCGAGTTGCGCGAAAAGCAGTATATGCAAAGAGGCATTGGCTCATCCTATCTCTTCAAAATCGACGACAACCTTGTAATTGATGCAACTATGTATGGAAATAACGCTCGTTTCATCAATCACAGTTGTCAGGTTTGCTTGATAACTTAATCTTTTTTAAGACTCATTCGTAGTAGGTATTAGCCTGTACATTTATTCTCCCTTACAGCCGAACTGTTTTGCCAAGGTAATAACAGTGGAGGGTCAAAAGAAGATAGTGATTTATGCCAAACGGGATATTCAAGTGCTGGAGGAGATCACCTATGACTACAAGTTCCCCTATGAGGACGTCAAAGTTCCCTGTCAATGTGGCGCACCGCAGTGTCGCAAATTTCTTAATTAGCCGCTCACAATGCGCTCCATGCTCTCTCTGTCTCCTCAAAAATGTCTTTCCCATTTCGCCGGCAGCAGTTGTATTGGCACTTGAAGTCCCGTGTATATTATTGGAACTTTCTTTCTTTCCTTTTCTATTTTGTACAAAATTTCCTGCGTTTTGCTGGCTCTTACACTCCCCTTCTACCTGGCTATATGCTGCTGCATTTACCTCTTCTTTCTTCCTATTGAGATGTAATGTGTACAGTGTTTGTTCATGTACCTATGCCCAAGCGGTGAATTTGGTATGATTCCGCTTTAATAAAGATTATTATTTATTTCACGTTGCCTTATTTCTGTGCCATATGCTTACTACCGCCCTAATTTTATTTGAATTTATCTACAGATGAATAAGGAACTTCCAAACTACCCCCAGTGGGAACTAATACGAGCTGGTAAAACGTTCGCTGCAAGCTGGGAGAGGACATTGACAGGAGTCGATACGAGGAGAAAGCCTCAAAATTGGTCATCTAAAGATGTAAAAAGGTTGGACAAATTGCATAGAATCCATCCCGTAGATGTCTTTATGATAAACTGTGAGGAGTATCTGTTCCCTCCAATCGATCACCCGCCAGTAAGTCTCTTCATCTCTCGGGACGGGATGACTCGTAAACTAAAACGAGCCCGAGATACTGACCCAGAGGAAGAAAGTCCGAGAAAAGCCATTTTGAAGAGGCCTCGCACACTGGCCTAATATTAAGATGTGATGACGCTTGAGTATTCCCTAAATCGGCATGGTATGTTGACGGTGAGGCTGCTTCAGACGTACTATACTCTCCAAAGTTCATTGTTTCGGCAAATGGTGAGGAAATCGATCATGGCTGGGAAGATGGCAATGTCTTGATTTCCTGTCAGGAGTGTTGTCTCATCCTCAATTTTTCTCTATCTCTATCGTTCAATATTTTGTATGGGGTTTAAAAGCTATCTGAGCCAATTTTTCACAACTGGACTAATACGGAGGAGGTTTGAATGCGATCCAAATTATTGACTGAAAGCTTGAGAACTGAACTTTTGCAATCAGTAAGCATGGTCTAAATATGGCACTTTACTCTTCTGTTTGCGTCACTGAGTTAAAATGGGATACGGATCAACGTGTCCATTGAAATTCTCGAGTTCTCACAGTGATCGGATGCGCCTGGATATGTGCCATCCAGTTTACGATAAATGTTCAACTGGAGTAAGCTATTTGATATCCTTCACTCACCATTGATTTGATACTTACACTGGCCTCCTTTCCAACATCAATTGCAGCCGATTACATTAAGGGACAAGTCCACCTAAAGGTGTCAAACCGCCTAGGTACTTTCAAGCGTCGTCGCCATGGCAACATCATAAAATATATTTTTGTTTTAATAAACATAAATATTCATTCCAATAAATTGTTCATTTAGGAGCTTTTGTGAGTAATTACAATCTATTATTTTAAAATGTTAACTCCGTTTGTTAAACGCAACACATTTCATATAATTTTTTGTTCTCTTTGGTTCTTGGAAAGGCATATTTTAAGATAGTTCTCATGACTGCATTATAGAAAGGACCCTAATTCGAGAACTCCTTCCAAATCATTATTACTAAAACTAAAATAGTGGTAGTGGATAAGCTCATTTAGCATGACCAATATTAAAAGTCTATTGATTGAAATTAACTATGTAGATAAGTTTTTGTTTATTATCTTGGTTTTATAACGCCGCTTTTCATCAACGGGAAAGTACTAGTGCACGCGCAATCTGTTGAAGTTCTCTAGCTTTCTTACGTATTTTTCTATAAATTTATGGCACTTAAAAAAACCTTAACATGAGCTCAAGTAGCTTATTTCATCGCTTTTAGTAATTCTGGTCTCGTTCATTCAGAATAGTGTCGTCAAAAATGCGGGCGAAAAAAGAGAAGGCAGCTATCTAAATTACAAACACAATGCATTTAGCAATGCATCAAAAACAAAAAAGCGAAAGATAAGGGTAGTAATGGTGGGATCATTGTTAGTAGCTTTATTGTCAGCAGTAGAAAATGAATTCACTCAAATTTGAAGCCGAATTTATCGAGCCAGGCGCAAATAGACTACAAGGAGTGACAATAGACCTGCTAAGATTGGAATGGCGTAAAAGTCCCAATCCATTTTTCCCGACACGCCAGGTAGTTCAGCACCTTCCGAAAGACCTGAGAAGGATCCAAAGAAGTTGCGGAACTATAATAAGATAAATATAACTTAAAAGGAGATAAATCACTCGCTTACTAGTGGCTTAAGAAAAGCCATTGTTAAAAAATGTGGTTTATCGATCCTTTCCGAGGCATGCATTAAGCGACCATTCAAAATACTAAAGACGGAAGATTTCAAGCAAAATCTGACGTCAGGAGAGACTATAAGGTCTTGGCCAAAGAATATACGTTTGGTCCAGCAGTTTGCCTTTTGCACTAATGTACATACACAGATGACAATCACCACCCGAAAACAACAACGAGACATGACCGACATCAAACAAAAGGTGTTTCTATATAAACCCTAATTTGTCAGTAAAATGGGGTGGCCTCCCCGAACACCTCCAAACTAATCTGGCGGAATTACAGAAACTTGTTAGGATAATCTCTGCCGATCAACGCGTATTTCTGCCGACATCATGGGCTACGTATCTAGTGGTGCACACGCAATGGGGAATGGGATTTCCGAAGTAAAGCAATCTAGCTACAATGCGTCAGGAAATTAATGCCAACACAAAATATTTAGCGCCCCTTAAAGGACCAAAGAGTGAGGCAGTAATCTAATAGGGCTTGTGAAAAGGTTCAGTGGTTTCCATTGTGTCACCTACATCAACAGTGGACTGGTTTAGTAACTACAACATTTAGCAGATTAAAAAGAGATTCAAGAAAAAGAGAGCAGTATGTGGTCAAGGCTCAATCCGGCTCTGACCTCTAAACCAAAAGCAAACCGACTGTTCACTTTCTCAGAGAAGGGTCTTGTAAGGTGCTTTGATTCTATCTTTACATGAGCCCATCGTGTACATTGCAATTCGACGGGTTAAAATGTTACATTGAACTCGACATTTCTGTAAAAATCGACAGGGGGCCAGCCGACTACCCTGGTTTCACTATGCATCGAATCTGTTATTAGCCACTCTCGTTCGCTGTCCCAGACTCAACTATTACAGTGGACAGAAATTGAAGGTAGGCAAGTGCATTCAACCTAGGCTTCACCAAAAATGCGGTCGGAGGCACTGCATGGCTCTCGGAGGAAACACACACACATCTGAAAAAAACCATAGTTTGGGCGAATTTGGTCCACCTGACTAGAGGAATATGCTGCTTGAACTATATGAACATCAAGTTATCCCTTATTCCGTATGTTGGGCTTACTGTCTTAGCAAAAGTTGGAGGAAATCTACCATGCGAAAGCAAGCAGATCGAACAATTCTCCAGTTCATGACAGATTGTCTGTTTTCGCAGTGTTCAGAGGGTATTGGCTAGCGACCATAATTTTCCATTACGGTGCGAACGGTGCGGCGAATCATCATGGTGGAAGTTATTCTTTGCCATAATTCAGATGGCTTCCAGCCATTGATCACCGGTTGTGTCACCACATGTACAACGAAAGGGGTGGGGCTAATTCTTAAAACGAGGCGTAGTATGCTCTATGCTTAAACAACTTGAGCGCATTTTAAAAAGGCAGCAAAATAATATTCGGCAAAATACTTTCTTGGCACTCAGTATACTAGTCATATTTTACGTAAGCCTTCAGAGTGACATACATTTTAACGAGAACTTACTAGAGGACATTTTCTGAAGAATTCCAAAGCAAAGGAGAAAGAAAGTTTGGCGAGAGCTAGAGCTGCGGGAATTTGAGCATCCGTGGAAGTTGAGGCTGCCATATCGTAGAATCGCTTCGCCAAGTGAATGTCCTGACAACAGATATATATCTATATTATAATCTTTTGAGTAGACAAATTAACACAGGGGTCTTCATTTTGCTCAGTTTAAATATGCACCCATTAAATAATTTATCACCAATGACTGAGTACAGTGTCCTTTAAAACTATTAGATATATATTCAAGTTTTATTTCTATTCTGTCAATTATGGATACCTGCGCAATATTTTTTCATTAGATTAAAGCAGAAATTTAGGTTAAAGGAAGACACAGACACAAAATGCATAGTTCATTACAGCTGAGCATAAAATGACTTAGTCCATGAAAACGAGTGAGATTTGGTAGCTTGCTTCAAGGGGTATGTATGGGCAACGATACTCATATAAAATTTTTCCCACTATTTACAACTCGGTAAAGTTGTCAAGATATCTTTGAATATATGACTTAATGAAACTACCTTTTAGAAACTGGTGAAAAATTTATAGAGTATGAGATAAGGCTATTCGACCAATCCACTAGACTTTCTAAAGTTCGAAATGTTATTTGGAGGTTTAACGAATATGGATTTAGTAATTACAAAAGAATCTAGCCAGCACCAGATACCTACGATTTTCTAAAAAACAGGCGATGGAAAAAGCTGGCTAAAAAATATATCATCGCATCATCCCATTTAGATTCACTCACCCGCTTGAAGCCAAGGCCATGCTCATGCATGTAGCCGAGATTAAACATGGCTTGAGCATTTCTGAGAACGTCGGAAGCGATGCGGTACTCCTGGATAGCCTGATCATAGTTAACCTCAGTACCTAGGCCATAGAAGTGGTAATCACCTAGCTTCACTCTCGACGTGGATGAGCCCTGAGAGGCTGAGCGCTTCCAGTAGACAAACGCTCGCTTGTATCGCTCCAAGTCGGGAATAAAGTCAAATTTTTCTAAAAATAGAAAAAGGAGATAGTGTGCTTTGCCAGAAACACAATGATACAGTAAGGACAAGCAAGTGGGTCGATTTCGACGATAACTCAAGATTTGGGACTTAACGTAGGTAATTACATTGGAAGTGAGCAACCATAGATTAACGATAAATGAGATTAACAAAAAAAACAACTACTAATATGGGAAGACGGTATTTCACAAATTGTGAACACCCTTAGAAAATTTCCATTATGCACAAAAGTTCAATTAGATTCCAATGAAATGAGAAAAGCATCATTTACAAACAAAGATTAATAAGTAAACGGAACTTCCTATGAGATAAAAAGCAATGGCAGAAAATCATATTAAATAAAAGTATTTAGAGAAAGCAAATTCCCCAAGTTACAACAAAAATATACTTTCTTAAATTCATACATCATATAAATGAATGATCCAAAAATGGAGGTGAAATTAATTAATTAATTATTTAACAGATCAAAAATGAACGAAGAAATGGCAAAGTTAAACTTCTAGTCAGGAAAACTATTAAAGTGACTAAGCATTCAATCAATTGGGATAAACAAAATCGAACGACTTCCTCCTCACAAAGAGAGCCTACCTTCCTCTAGGATAAGAGCAACGTTGCTCTGCGCAACCTCGTAACCAAGTTCAGCTAAAGCGAGGTATTGGATAAGAGCCACCTCATGATTGCCCGACCAGTACTCCAGATAGGCCGAAGTGAGGAGCTGAGACCACCTACCACGTTCGGCCACATTCTTGAAGAGCTCAGTGGCTGTTGAGCAGGAGCGGAATACACCCATCCCAGTTGCGTGCATCTGACCCAAATTGTAAAAGGCAAGGGTGTTGCCCTGCTGAGAAGCTAAAGTGAAATACTTGAGCGCCATTTTGTAGTCTGCCTTAAAACCCAGGGTACCCATGAAAAGGAGACCCAGCTGGAGTTGAGCCTCAGGCCAGCCCTGGTCGGCAGCTTTAACGAAGTAGTCCATGGCTTTCACAGGATCCGGGGTCAGTCCAGCTCGACCATGAAGGTAGGCCAGACCGAGGCCAGTAAGTGCCATGGGATTGCCCGCAGAAGCTGCACGCTGGAGGTAACTGAGTGCCAGAGCTTCGTCTTTAGGAACATCCGGGCTGCCTACCAGGTACATCTGCAAACAAAAGACAGATTAATAACTGATAACAATAAGGAGCGTATACAATTCTGCTTTCAGATAATATGGGGTAACAAACTAAGAAATTAACGACTGTAGATTATTGCCGGATAATACGACTATAATGTGAAAATTGCTAAACACTGACTATTTGTATCAATTGCACATAAGGGTCAAGAGGTCATTGCTAATTGTTGGAACAGAGAAATAATGCTAAATAATACTCAATTTAATGTAAAATTATAATAAGGCAACGATACAAAATCTGTTAAAAAATGGACACACCTCACCAAGATATGCCATAGCCAAAGAGCTTCCGGACTCTGCGGCTCGTTTGAAGTAGAAAAGAGCAAGTTTGTGATTGAGGTCAATTCCATGCTGTCCATTGTAGTAGAGCTGTCCCAGTGTTACTTGTGCCGTCACATTGTCCGAGTCGGCGACGAATTTATAGTAGGCAAGAATGTCGTCAGAGATGAAGTAGTTGGAGAGGGCTGTGCCTGAAGTGCCACCTGCGGTCTGTTCACGTTCTTCTAGGAGATTAATACGGACCACTGTGGGCCCCATGAGGATGGGACCGGCACCTGCCTTCACCCGATTCTCTACCTGTTCGGCTACTCGACTAGCCACACGACGATAGTAGGCCAGTGCCGTCTCACAGTTTGGCTCGACCCCTATACCAGCCAAGTAACGATAGCCCTATAATTTAGGGCACTTGTAATTTATCGATTACACCATACAACAACTACGATGACTTCACGGGTACGAAGAAATTACTGTTCTCAAAGGGGAAGCGCAATTGTACCTTAATGACTCAACCCCACTAACCGTTTTAAAACGATCGATAAAGAAAAAAATCCAACATTAAAACTAGAAATATGAGTAGTACCAGACCAGTAATTTCGATTGAAACCATCACTCAATGTAAGACTTCACATATGAGTGGGTTCAGCTATTAATATGTAGAATTAAATAATACCAATTTAGATATCTTAATCGATAGGATTTTAACGGCAATAAATTTTATATATTATACTAAGTAAATTTAACTAAAACACTGCTCTAAGGGTAGGGAAAAGAAAACTCTACTTTTAAAAATATCCATTTCATACGATTATTCAATCAAGCAACGCAAATAATCATTTGAAAAGATATATGGAAACATCAAGATTGCATATAGGTATAGACATACTACTATTTAAAAAAGTAGAAAACATCAAAATCACATCGAACACAATTATATAAAATGCGACTCAAATAACCACAGCCATACTAGAAATTATAGTTTCAAATTTTTAAAAATGATAGAGAGACAAAAATCAGGTCCAACATACACAGGTTAAAGCGGTTAAAAAGAACACGAACATTTAAAGAGCTCATTACCAAGATGAGGGAAATACTGATGCAGCTATGATCAAGCAATTAGATTATAAACGGAAAAGATAATCGTTGCAGATGGTTGAAAAAACATATTCAAGAAGTGAAAAGAAATAAAATATTCCAATTAATTGAGATCAGGGAGAAATCGAATAAAGGTATGGATTAAAAACTTAACGAAGCTTGAATTAAAAAAATTAAACAATTAATACAAGTTAAACAAAAAACGGAACCATTAGAACAAATATTCAGCTTAAATAGTGAGCATGGCTTCGTTAAGTAAAGGCGAAAACGTGATCTTTTTCCATATACAATAAAGTAACACACCATAGACATCTCTGCTATTTCATCTCCACCAAATGCAGCGAAAGTGAGATAAACAAGAGCCTGAGGAACACTTGCATTGACACCGATTCCAGCTGCGTTCATTAAGCCCAACCCCAGCTGGCCCCTTGGATTTCCCTCACTAGCCAATCGTTGAAAATCGTCCAGAGCTTTATTAATAGATAGTTGAAGACCACCCCAAGCGAGAGCTGACGCCATTGCTATGGCTTCACGTGCCTTGGTGTGTCCTGAATTTGCGGCACTGGCTAACAATTTGAGAGCTCTAAACAAAAGATAGAAGTAAAAAAACCGAATTAACGAAAGGATATCAATAAATGCATACGAACTCAGGATCGCCTAGAGATGGATTCTTGCATTCCGTGAGCATCTGAATCCCCTTTCGGTAAGCATTATCAGCCTCTATAGAGGATAAGGATATGTGTGTTGGATCACTGTCTGAAATAAGCGAAAAAAAGAGTTTTGAGAATACTATTAACTAATGGAGGACGGAGCATAAGAACTAAAACACCATTAAAAAAATTACAGCGAATTGATGGAAAAAATAGCACTCCTCGTTATTCAATTCCAAAAAATTAATGAATGAAAAGTAGTTTTAAATATGTAAAGGTTAGAAGTCATAAGAAATGGAATTTAACCTTTCAACACAGTTGGTTCTGCATCTGGAGATGCGTAACTGATTAGCGAGACTGCGAATACATTTATCAGATAGAGGTATATGGAATATCTGAAAAACTAAAAATTTTAAGAATATAATTTTCAACGAAATCTACATTCATCTGAAAGGTATTAAAACCGCGCCTTTGACAAGCGGATTTCTATTGGCTGATTTATGAAATGAATATACATTGACTTATATATGACGTACACTGTCATAAACTAAACAAATTTAAAATATCAAATATGAGAGCATAGAACAAAATAAAAAGAAAAAATAAATTTGGACTAAGTAAGTGACCGAGATTCAAGAATCCATGTAAATTTTTAAGGAGAGAAAAAATTGAATAAATATCGATAGTGAGAAATGACAATGCACTTCAGATGCTGATCCAAATGTTAAATAATTTTGATTCAGGCGTAGCATAAATGTAGCATAAATGGTTGATTGCAATGCGCCCTTAGTGAATCGAACATAATGCAATCACTTCTACACACT